AGTAGCCCTGCCAGCCCTGTGGCATCACCATAAAGGAAAGGTGTAGAGTGGATCAGCTAGAGAACAATGTGTCGGCTGCTAATCCAGACTCTGTTCTTGCAATACACACGCAGGCAAAGAGCCATGTCCAAAGATGCTGAAACATCAGTGCCAGCAGCCACATCTTGGGTCTCTGGGAGGACTGTTGCCGCATTGCTGAGCAATGACGCCATGCCAAAGTCTTTCTAATGGGAGGAAAGGGCTAGAGTTCATTTACGTCATTAGTGGAATAACATTAAAGGAGGAAGAAGAGGTTCAGGGAAGTTAGTTCTAGGGAAGAATATGGGGCAATTCTGACAATTTGATAATTTTGCACCTTCCCTTTACTGAACAAGTTACATGAAGTGTAGCATATCATGTCACAGGGTGGATACACCAGGGAGAACCAACAACACAGCAGAATTAGTAATAACCATTCAAATAGTTATCCCCAGAGAAGTAGGGACAAGCTTGGATTCCATTTTTCATGGAAATGAAAAGCACAGCCCAACTCTCAAAAGAAAATGAATGGAACATGAAAAAAATGTAGACACAAATAACACCCTAAATATTAAAAAAATGCTTATGTTCCATCACAATTTTGTACAAATCCCGTATAAACACTATGAGAAGAGGCTTTGTCTACTTGGAGACCCTTAACTGGTTCTTAGAAATTGACACCTGTATGTGCCATGAAATTTAATCATAATCCTGCAAATGTATGCACATATGTCCTCACATAATTAAGTAAACACACTTACCATGTTGCACCCCATATGAAATAAACAGAGGCACCAGAATATTAGGATTACCATTGAATTTTGTGATCACCAGCATTACTCTCGCATGCTTGCTTCTGTTAGCTGCTAATTGCCAGCTCCCTCCCCGCTCTGGTGGTCAGGAGTCACTGTGCACCTCAGGCTGCCACCTGTGCACCGCAGGACAAGGCAAACCAGGGAATCATTCACCCCCCCAGCAATACAGTATCCAGTCACCATAAATAATTAAATCTACTTCTGTTTCCCAAGAACATGCTAAGATAGGCTGCGTAATTATCAATGCAAGTTTTTAGTAGGCTGTGTAGAAAAGCATTTCCAGGGTGATCAGTGTTCTAGCATACGTCATTCTGGAGTAATAAGCCGAGTAACTCCCTCTATAAATTCTGCAGTGACTGAATTCTGTAGCAGCTCATTGAATCAAAATTATATGTTGAAACACCCATTAATTTACCACTCAGTCCAATATAATATGCAAGCCAATGCTTCCTCCCAAAGAAAAAGGAATTCATAGAATGGCCCTGTTCACAAGGGACAGAACCCTCATCTTCATCTCCCATACAGTAGTAGGAACCACTTGGATCTCCACTAATTTACCATATATGGGAGGGTAAAAAGGAGGCTGGTTCCCCGGCGACATGGGAGAAGTCTAACCTACGTGATTCCCTATTTTGTCCACACATTTTGGCAACAAGACTGTGCATTGGCAATGAAAACTAGAGACCTTTTCATAGTAAAAGCTTTGTAAAGCAACCCATGGAGAACCAAATATTACCCCAGATTTAGTGATTCGGTCTGTGCCACGCTAATAAGGGATTTGCAAAATATTTTTTCCTCTCTTTTTTTATTAATTTATTTTTTTACGTTCCAATCCCAGTTTTCCCTCACTTCTTTCTCCCACTCCCTCCACTGCCCCTTCCTCCCATCTGCTCCACAGAGGGGGTGAGGCCTCCCCTAGGAAGTCTACTAACTCTGTCCCAGCATCTAGTTGAGGCAGGACCAAGGCGCCTCTCCCCCTGCCCACCACACCTCTGTGTCTAGGCTGGGCAAGGTATCTTTCCATATAGAATGGGCTCCACTATGTCAGTTTGTACATTAGTGTTATCTTAGAGCAAAATATTTTTATCCTCACTTCACAAATAGAAAGGCATAGTTATTTACTTTCACGTAAGCTAAGCACTCTTTGCAGTTCTTGAATATTTGTAGTATGGGAAGGTTTGAATACAAAATGCTGTCAGAAGCCACTTACACTTGGAGCATGTTTTTATTTAACACCCTCTCTTAATTTTCAGAATACACACATGGAGATCCTACTATAAGCAGACAGTCACTGTGTGACTCATGGTTTGGGAACTGATAGTGAGAAAGATACAGTTGTGTCTTGCCTTCCTAAAACTTGTGGGTGGTAGCATAGTCAAGCAACAATGTAATCCTACTGTCCTTTAAGGTTGGTGGAAATTTTCTATCTAGGCAAACTAACTCCAGCTGAAAACCAAAGACAGAGGGGAGATCAACACAGAAAGAAAGAGAAGGAAGTAATGGAGGTTGGTGTGAAGGTGTAGCAGCATCTGCAGAATACTGTGTCAGGGGAAGATTAGACATACTCCAGGGGTGGAGCTAAGGTCTTCAAGCTAACCACATGGAGACTTTGCATTAATTATGAAGTCTCAGCCAATAGCTCAGGCTTGTTTCTAACTAACTCGTAACATAATTAACCAATTTCTATTAAGTTACTTTTTGCCTCATGCCTTTATTACCTTTGCTCTGCACTGCCCATGCTGCCTCCTCTCTGTCTGTCTGGCAACTCCCTGCATCTGTTCCCTTCTTCCCAGTGTCCTCTCTGCCCTGAAAATCCTGCCTAGCTATTGGCCATCCAGCTTCTTATTAAACCAATCCAAGTGACAAGTCTTCACAGTGTACAAAAATTTTATTCCACAAACAGTTTGGAACACACATATATGTGTATACATACTCACCCCACCCCCCACAGGATGATCAGAAGTTCCAGTGGAAGCCACTGCAAAAATAAAATTAGGACAAATCCAAGTATATATACATAACAACATAAGAATTGAATGGCTTATTGTAGTGTTCATGTGGAGAGCATGATATGATCCCAAATTCATGAGGATATTTTTCTAGGTAATAAATCGTTTCCATTTGTTGTTGCAATGGTTTCAGATGTGTCTTATAAATTTACTATAATGTCCCTAGTCCCTCAAATATTAATGATTCATTAGGGTTACTCAGAATTCCTGACTAGTCTTGAACTTCTTCAGACCTATATGCAGCAGGCTGGAACACTGTCCTAAGAATGTATTCCCTTTCTGTTTACTCTTTAGTTGGGCTAAGTAAATTATAGAACGTGTTATAAAAATTATCTTGGCAGGCTATGTATTGTGAGTATGAAACTGTTAGTTAGAGCATATTGATGCAAAAAATGTAGGAGTGGATCATCTGTCCACACTAAAAAACAAAACAAAACACAGTGCTGGCAAGTTGGATCAGTGGTTAAGAGTACTTACTGCTCTTCTAGAACACTAAAGTTTCGTCCCAGCACCTATGTGTCAGCTTACAACTGCCTGTAACTCCAGTTCCAAGGAATCTGAAATCCTCTTTGGGCCTCCATGGGGAAAGGGGGGAAGGGAGGGAAGGAAAGAAGGAAGGAGGGAGGGAGGGAAAGAGAGAGAGATTAATAAGATTAACCTTCAGGAAATACGATGACAAGTAGACACTGCCTGATGAAAAGTCAGTCATACAGAAATTTACTAGCATGGTCGTCTCTAGAACAGGAACGGTATGTAAAAGCCAAGAAGAGAGAAATGAGTTGACAGATAGTGAAATACTGTTAGATAGCAGAAATTTGTTCTGTTCTTTAGCACAGTAGGATGAGTCTGGTCTATATAAATCTATGATATATTCAAGCTGTATAAGAGTATAAGGTTTTCCAATATATAGAAACAATAAATGTTTGGAAAGATGGAAATGCCAATTATCCCAATATGATCATTATACAGTGTGCACATTGAATCAATTATCACACTGTATCATATCAGTATGTACAAATTTCGTGTCACTATGAAATGTGTAATGGGAATTTGCTTAAAACCTCTAATCCAAGATTATAGATGAATATCTTACATATTTACTTACATAATTTTGGTACCTTTTGTCATTTTCTTTATATCAGTAGCAATTCATCTTTACTGTCAAAGCTTATTGAATGTATACAAGAGGAAAGAAAAAGTGGAGATTATATTTTCATTAAAAATAATGTACTTGTGACTCAGAAAATGTTGTCTTAACTGGAAAAACAGAATTTCCTGTGAAGGTTTCAAGGGGATTAAGAAACAAATGATGATATAAGAGAAAGGAGCAGGGGCTGGGGAGATGGGCTACGGGTTGACAACCAATACGCCTCTTGCAGAGAAAGTGGCCTCCACCACCAGAACCCACGCTGGGTTGCTCACTCCAGGCTGCAACCACAACTGAGTTCCCAGGGATCTGAAATTTTCTTCTGGCCTCTGAGGCAGTTGCACTCACATGCTCACACCGTCCCTCCAGACGCACAGATATGCACACAACTCAAAATAAAATAAACGTCTTAGAAAGTGGAGAGACAGGATGCTAGGGCCATGAGCACGTTTGACACTTTTATTGAATAGTGAGGAGAAATGTTGTATATCCATTCTATTTGCATGTTGGTTAATGAACTACAGGCCAAGATCTGGTGGTGGGCTCCACTGGACCTGTGTCTAAGCTTAACTTATCACAATCACACCACACTGAAAACTCCAGTGATGAATATTAATCAGCCTTCAGTTGACTATTTACACCCACATGCTGTATTGTCCACCTACCAATATAAAAGGTCATAATGCTGAGCTTGGGTGACACGTGGGGACTCCTGCTTGACAAACCTCATCCACCCCGATGACTCAGCTGTGGAACTCCCATGAAAGCCATTTTGAAGACTAACAATTGAACTTGCATCTTGTTAATAAGACACCATTTCACACAGAACTACGCAAAGCTTCAAATTAGCTCAAGCAATGAAGTGCAAAGGAGTCTTAAAAATAAGAGCCAACACCCTGCTTTCTGAGTGCTATATAATGTCCCCAGCAAAGACATAATGTTCACATCTTTAAACCTGACATTTGACAACCTGAGTCTTTTTAGCTGACTTCAATTAAGGGTTTAGAGAACATGCCTCATAGCTACTGCCAGTCATTCAGGAGCTTGGGCAGAGCCCCATCACTCTCTGCCATCACACACGACTCTAATCCTAAAAGCTTTGAAGATGGAATTTTCTTGCCCAGCAGTTGTCACAGCAGAACCTGGCTCCTGGGCAACATTCAAGAAACCAACAGTGAAACCTCTGCCCATCAACCGACCACTTGTGAACAGCACCAGTGTAAAGCGGACCCTTGTGTGCAAAGTTCCTGGATCTCCAGAGCTGACCAAACAACTTGGTCCAATTTGAAAACCTGTGAAAAGACAACATGCCAATCAGGAATCTCCCCAGCTGTGACGGAGTGTGCTTCTCAGCCCTGCCAGTCAAGAAATTGTCAGCAAGTAGGTTTTGTAGCCCAGAGTTATCAACCTGCAAGTTACATGGCCAAGTGTTACCCAGTAAAGTCTACAGTGTCTGAGGGTTGCCAAACTGTGGAGTTTGAAACCAGCCAATGCTACTCTCAGGTCTCTGAGTCCAGTTCCTGTAACTCCTCCAGCAATGTTGTCTCTGGGACGCAACTTGTGGAATCTTCTGGCACTTATGAGCCAGCATGCTGTGTGACAGGTGGTTCACAATTGTCTAGTAAGTGAAGACTTTAGAGAGAATATGGTTGACTTGAATTTATTTCTTAATACCTGAGAACTCCATTCTCTAAATATAATATGTTTATGTTTGTAAATGCTTTTCCTTTCAGGTATTTCTGGTGGTAACCTAGGATCATAAAGCATGCTAATCATTTTGGTAAATATGACACTATTTACTGTTCATCGGGGAATAACCATTGGCTTTTGGAAAGACAACTTTTGCTACTAGTTACTGTGTGTGAAAATATTTAGCAGGAGATATGGCTAGTTAACTAATATGATTATACCAGAAATCCATGAAATGCTGAAATTCATCCTGGAGGCTTAAGGTGCTATACAATTTGTTAGGTTGAACTCAATCAGAAATCAATTGGTATTTAATAACACCAGAAATACTACTAGAACTGGGTCTACTTACTAACTGAATCAAAACACTCATAAAGAGGAAATAGAGTCTTTCACCTGAAAAGTGCAACAAGTTTGAATTTCTCCTCCATGAACTTCCTAAGAATGCATTCCTAATTCACAGTTAGAATCCTCCCTATGTTTCTACTGTTCTTACTTTTCTCACCTCTTTTTTCCCAGTGATTTGGAGATGGAAAGAATGGGATTTGATTTCTCTAAAAAAATAAAATAAATAGACTTATTATAAAACTGGTTGTTGTACCGTCATTTTTCTTTGACATTTTGTTGAGGATTTTTGTAAAAGGATGTGTGTGTGTGTGTGTGTGTGAGAGAGAGAGAGAGAGAGAGAGAGAGAGACAGAGACAGAGACAGAGACAGAGACAGAGACAGAGACAGAGACAGAGACAGAGATATTCCTTGGAGCTAGAGTTTTTGCCTGACTTAAGTGGGAACCAAATGCAAGTAGGTCCTTTGGATGAGCAGCAAGTGCTCTTAAGTTCTGAACCATCTCCCCAGATCCCTTGCTGTGAGTTTTTCCTATTTAAATTAGAAACAATCTTATTTTATGTATCAGTCCCAGTTCCCTCTCCCTCCCATTCTCCCATGCTCCCCACCGACCCCCATCCCATCCCTCTTCTGCTATTAGAAAGGGTGAAGCCTTCTATGGGGGATCATCAAAGTCTGTCACATCATTTGGGACAAGGGAGTAGGCCCTATCCCGTGTGTCTAGACTGACAGAGTATCCCTCTATTGGGAATGGGCTCCCAGTGTCCATTTGTACACTAGGAATAAATGCTGTTCAATTACCAGGGACCCCATCAACTGCCCAGGCCTCCTGACTGACACCCATGTGCGGGGCCTGGTTTTGTCCTATGCTGGTTTCCCAGCCGTCAGTCTGGTGTCCATTAGCTCCCTCTTGTTCAGGTCAGCTGTTTCTGTGGGTTTCCCCAGCATGGTCTTGACCCCTTTTCTCATCACTCCTCCCTCTCTGCAACTGGATTCCTGGAGTTCAGCTCAGTGCTTAGCTGTGGGTCTCTACTTCTGTTTCCATTAGCTACTATAGGATGGCATATAAGGTAGTCATCAATCTCATTATAGGGGAAGGGCATTTAAGGTAGCCTCTCCACTATTGCTTAGATTGTTAGTTGCTGTCATCCTTGTTGATTTCTGGGCATTTCCCTAGTGCCAGATTTCTCTTTAAACCTATAATGGCTCCCTCTATTATGTTATGTCTTTTCTTTCTCTCCTCTATTCTTCCCCTGACTCAATCTTTCTGGTTCCTCATGTCTTCCTCCCACCTCCTCTTCTCCCCTTATCTTTTTTTGAAGGATGCTTTGATGTGGTGGAAATAGTATGCATTTGAAAATTAAAAGAACATGTTCCCTTACCACACTTTTTAGGGAATGAGTCAGAATATGGTATCACATTTTTAGTTGTTATACAAAGAGAGCAAACACACTCAATTTAAAGAACACGAAATCATGGAATCAAAATAGAATATGAACATTTGAAATGTAATTAATTTATTTAGGTAGCTTGGCTGTTTTCAAGCTTTGGGTGCAGTCTTAAATGAACCTCTCATTTTGGAAGAAAATAAAAATTGGCTATTAAGGACATGGGCTGTGAAGACAGACCTCCTGAAATTGAAATTCCAGGTTTATTGAAGGCTATTTGAACCCCAGCTGGATGATTGGGTGCAAATTATGTAACTATTCTTCAAAATAGTATTTTTTCAAGTCTGTGAGGAACACTGTGAGTGTCAAAAGTCAATACATTGAAAGTTGACAGTGCATCATCTTGTGTATAGTTGATGCTCAATAAGATGCAGTCTTGCTTGGAAACAAGCAGGCTGCAGGCAATGGAGATTTGTAAACAAACTCGGGGATCCATGAAAAATGAAGGCAGCTGATCATCCCCGGAAGGGAAAAGAGCTACTTTAGAATTAATTTTAATGGAAAAGATTAAGAAACACATATTGCACTGGAGTGGTGGGGCTTAAGAGATACAGAGGATAAAAGGCCTTGCTGGTCTTGCACATTCAGTCTCCTGATACCAAAATGGTGGCTCAAGACCACTGAAACTCCAGTGCCAGGGGCTGTGGTGACTTTCTGGCCTCTGAGGGCACCAGCTATACAAATGCTTATTCAAGCAAAAGTCCCACACCAAAATGAAAATAAAAATAACAAAACCCCTACAGGCTGTACCTAGCTGAAGTGAGTTACCACATTACCTCTGAAGTACTGGCAAAGCCTTTGGCCTGTTGACTATTCCAGTCAGTCTGTGGGTGGGTTTTTGTTTTGGAAATCCCACATGTCAGATTGACTAAGCCAAGTGGAACCCAGATGGAATGTCATTTCTAGATGGCTAGGAGGGTTCTCTGGAAAAGACTGGCATTGAAATCAATAAACTCAATCAATAATCCTTCTCATGGCAGGTGCTCATTATAAATCGATGGGAGACCTGGAATCAACAAAACATAGAGGTGGAAGAAAGTGCTTCTTCTTGCTTCTTGCTTCTTACTTTTCTGTTGAGCTGGGACTTTAGCCTTCTCCTAGCTTTGGGCTGTGGTTTATGCTTACAACTCCCATGGTGCTTAGACCTTCATACTTATATTGGCTCCCCTGGATATCCAGGGCATGTACTATGGAAGAGCTATGTGAGATCTCCATCTTAATAATCAATTTATACTGTAGAATATAACTTGCTTCTGTTCTTTTTAATAACCCTGATTTAGCATTGTATTGAGACAATGAAGAAAACTTGAACTTAAATTCTTTCAGTCCTCATTTGTTCAGATGCTTTTTGGAGATGTGCCTTGAGCAGATAGATCCTGAGGGAGATGTCTAAGACGGAGACTAAACACTATTTGTAGCTCTTGATTTTATCAATGGAAGCACTGCTTATGGACACAGAGGGGTATTTCTGCAGCCAGATATTGCTATATAACATCTGGCCACAGTTGTAATGCTAGCAATGTAGCTTGGCAGCAATAAACACTTCATCTGGTGCCAGCCTCTCAGGATTTCAATTCACTCAACATGTGAACATGGGTGAAGCTTATTCATAAAGAATAATTGAGTTCAAAGACATTAAAATAGACCACCTTGAAGAATTAAATTCCTTCAACTTCTGTCTATTGCATGGACCTTCCCATGTATGTTTCTGTAGTTAGTATAAACTTATATGGAAGAATGGTATTTATTTAATAACTATTTATAGTTAGGGAGGTACAAGAGGATTAAAAATCCAGAAGAGAGGAATGACTGTTAAATAAGGCTGGATTTTTAATCCTCCCACACCTCCCTAAAGATATATAGTCATATTAAATAGAGGAATGATTGTTAAACAAGGTTTATTTTGACATCTACTATATTCATTACTCTAGGCTAATAACTCATTCCTTTAGGCTGAGTTTGGCCATTTTCTGTAAAAATATTATCTGAAGGATGGGCCAGCCCATGATGTAACCCAACATGAAACACATGTTAAGTCCTTCATAGAGATGAATCCTGTGACCTCAAATACAAACTTTTTGATATTAGAATACGAAATGGTATGATTTCAGAAAGGGACCTTGGAGGAAAATTTATTGTAAGGAGAAGATCACAAAACAGGCTATGACTAGGTCTTGCTCAATTTCAAATCCTGTCAATTACTAACTGAGTGCCCTGGGACAATTTGACATTTCAGAGACTCTGTTCTTTTGCCATAAAGTGGATAAAATGGTGCCTAATACAGTAGATGATTGTGACAGCTAAATGATAAAGTTCCAATTAAATGCTTAGTGGAGTGTTTAACACGTGGCAAGTGTGCAATATACGCCAGGTATCATTTGACACTTCATTTGGTATTTGGCTCTTGGGGCTCAACCTCAGTTTATGATTGAATGAATTGCACTGAAAATAAAGGGCAAAGACCAAGACATGCCTTTCTATGGCACGGGAAAGGACTGAAGCAGCTGGTGCATACTGGGTATGCCATGAGAAACTCACACTCTGTAGTTTTCGGAACACATTTTTGTAAGTCAAATTACTCATTTCTTTCTAAACAGAAACTAGTAGGATCTATACACTGGTGTATCAAAGTCATCAGAACATAAAGGATAAAATGACTATCAGGCACATTCGCTTACCTACACGGTTATGTGCCATGAGCTACACACAACAAAGCTAATACCATCAGAGCATTTAGTATTTATCAGACCTTCTGTATATGTCTTATCACTTTTAACAACTGGATCAAAGCATCACTATTTTATTACCCTATTATTCCAATAAGATGAAGGCTTGCATGAATGGAGTTGTCAGACACATGTAACAAGTATGTAACATATAAATTTTAAGACATTACAAGTCATCAGGATAACTCCAAGCATAAGGGACATCTATGCTATATGGAAGGCCAATAAAAACAATTTAATTGAAAATGATCAGTTTGGCAAATTACAGTGAAGATATGGAGAGAGGAATTCCAGAGAATTAAATGTACATTTATTAAATATTTGAAAATGGTATATACTTCAACATCTTAGGAATATTATGAAATTGATTAGATGATATGTGTGAGGTAAGACATGTAAATGGCAGGAGGTGAGACTTCTG